AATCTTCTCTTTATGTGTGCTTGGAATTGGCACATTTACATACCTATATGGCAAAAAAACAATCATTACTGTGGAAGGCATTTATTGCAAATATACTGAAAACTTGCAATTCAAGATTTCTGCAACCTTTTATGAAGTTATTTTTACCTCTACAACAAATCTTTAGCTTAGCAGTTTGCTATAAGGTGTATGAAATGATATAAAACCACACCTGAAAAAAATTGAATTATCCACCCATTTAAGAAATTCCCATTTTGTGTCCTAAATGATTGTGCTTCATTTTAGTCATGACAAAATACAACAGTTGTGACGACATCAGAAAAGGAAATTCCCTTTACTGGAGCTAGGTCAGGAATCTATGAAAACTGTGGAATACTTGCAGATGGTCATACTGCAGAATCTACATTGACCAAAATCATAGTCATAGCAGTAGTCATTATGACAATCTTAAAGAGGAAAGTGTAATACCTTCTGATTACTAAGCCAGAAAAATTGTTATGTTTCTGATAAATACGTTTCTAAATATGTAAATGTTTATGATTTTAGTACAAATAATCATTTAAAAACTTCAATATATATTAGTCCAGCTTCCACATATACTCTCATTTTTACTGTATATGTGTATTCCCCCTAGCGTAGTACAATCACATCAATAACTAGGTATAAAAATTTTATTTATTTTTATTGGGATTTTATTTTACTAAACCAGAGAAGAGAAATTTGTTTTTACTGAAAAGGTGGGAAGAGCTCTGGAAGCTCATATTATCTGGAAATAATATTTAGCAATGCATTTGTGAAATAAATTTAAGCCAGCACAGCTCTTTAGTCCAGTATGGACTCTCTAGCAATACACTGTGAACCAACTTCAAACAACTTAGGATTGAATCTTGACAGGTTTTACAGAAAAAGATCAATAGCTATGCCTAATCTATATTACTTTTGAGGATTTCTGTAGTGCACAAATTTTGTTTTTCTACTCTCATTAGGATGAATTAGCTATGACCAACATAATGGTGTAGTGTAGGCATGAGATGAAAGCAGTAACACGAGAGACAGTACAGAATGGTAGGGAAGGGAGCACATGATGACACCAGTGAAACGAAACAAGACAATGAAATGAGACAAGGAAGCTGGTGAAACCCTTTCCTAGGGATAACAAAGGGAAAAGATGCATGCTTTTATCCTGTAAATTTTGATTTAAAGTGTAATTATAGACCACAGAATAAAGAACAAAAGTGAGGTGAGAGAGATGAAAACCAAAGAGTTAGGCAGTTGGAAAGTAAAACATCAAAAAAGAAAAGTTTTTTTAATGAAAATGATCATTTTACTTATTCTTAAATTAATGTATTTAATTCACAGTCTCCTGAGCCAAATCTTTTTCCACACATAAACATGAAAAAACCTCAGTTTTTATTAATTATATACTTCATAACTACGAATTCTCTCAAATTACTGAAGCTCTCTAACGTTTGCTAGTATACATAAATTGCCTCACAACATGGTAGCATCTAACAAAAAATACCTAGGAGAAAATACTTGGAAGAACCTTTTAATCTACTTTAGATACTTTAGTATTTCCATCAAATCCCTAAAGCAAGAATTCGATATTCTACATATAGTACTTGACATTCAAGCTTATTTTGCTCCATTCCATATTCACTTATTGCTATCACTGAAGTACTGTTCCACATATTTATAATTGGAATCTACAGACTTCTAGTGTTTGTAAAACTGACTTGAAATATACCCCACTATTTTTAGAACTGATGCATGTGTTACAGATAGTGTGATATCCTGTGCTTAGCATTCCAAATCCGTTGGTTTCCAAATGATCCTGTGCTTTGGGATCCAAACTTTCCACAACTCTTATTACTGTGAGTTGATGTTTCTCAGGATCAAGCTTTTACAAACTCACTTCTATGAATAACTTGCAACATGTGATTAATGACTTCATGTTTATCTTAAAGGTTTGTACAGTATTGATTACAATGAAAAAACTCATAAGCAGAGAAATCATCCCTTTCCAATGTTCTTGGATTTTGTCAAGGTAGAAAGGATTAAAAGTGTAGAAAGAAGATTAAAGCTGAGTCATTTCCCTCTACAAACTTAAAAGGATTTGCAACTCCACTTACCCAGGCAGAGTACAGTCCCTCCTTCATCAGTTCTACAGATACAGTACCACTCACACCTCACCAAGGACAGCCCTTTCATACACCTGCCCCCTTCTTTCCACTCATCATACTCCCAGAATATTTTACCAGCTGCATGCCACCTCAATTATCAGGGGAACTCAGGTTTTAGCTATTTTAGGAGCTTCTTGATCTAGCTAGCTTGTTCACCATCTAAATGATGACAGCAAAGTGTGGAACAGAATGATCAACAAAAGCAATACAGAGAGAGGGAAGGACCAATAATCTCCTTCAACACTTTACGGTTCCAGGATCAAATATCCACAAGATGGCTTCAATAGTAACGAAGCGCACCTCAACTACTATAAGTACACCATATATATAAACAGGTCTGTCTGCTCAAGAACCTTGTGAACAAATTGCAAATGGGGATCTTTCTCAATGGATTCACAGTGAAAAATCTCAGGTTTAGTTTTGATAAGAGGGAACGGGTCTGAATTCACCAGTAGTGTGCCTGTGTGTACCAGAAGTTTCCTAAGAGAAGACACTAACTAAGCATCTACATTTCCTCCAGAACACTGAAATAGTAGTAAGATCCAGCTTTACAACTATATGGAGAAAATATCTCTACTGTTCTCAAACTTTCAAAACTTTGTCAAATGATTTAGGTTCAATGTGTTACTTCTTCAGAGGTATAAGCATTGTTTAACAATATCTGTCATTTTATTTAATAAAATTATTAGAGGCTTAAAAGGCCATTTCAAATTAAAACTTCCTGCTAGCAGACACAACAAAGCAGCTGATTATATCTCTTAGATCCTCAAACATGGCAATAATTTTGTAGCACATAAAAAATAAGAAAATTCTAGATTCATTAATAAATGCAGTTAAATAGAAGCCTAATTTCAAAAATGAAGAGACCCAAGCAGCCAGTTCTGTACCCAGTTTCTATAATTACTCTAGATTTGCACATTTTATCCAACCCACAACTACCATTCTAAAGAAATTTAATCCCTTCTACCTCATTTAAATTTGCTTTTGCACTCAATAAAGGCTGCAAGATTTGTACTCAATTTCTAAAGAGCAATTCATCACTTCTTCGAATCTCTAGCAAGGCACAGACATTTCAAGGACAGGAACTACAGTACACAAGCAAAGAGAAGGCATTTCTGTATCTTTAAATGTGATGTGCATCTCTAAAGCCTCTAACTGCAGGGGAAAAAAAAACACTTTGATAACTTGCATTAGTCGCTGTTTGGTTTGTTGTTTTTTTTTTTTTTTTTTTTTTTTGGAGTTCCCATGTATAGGAGCCTAGTTTTTTTCTTCTGTATCCTGGAATAAAACAAATTGCTTATCTATCCTCATTTCCAGAAGGAGGTAAAGAAGTTAATAGCAGCCTTCAAGTTTTTTTGGAGCTGTAACTAATGACGAATGTCCTATACGATATAAGCACTGTGCAGTGTCTTGGCACAGATCATATCTCTCATAATCACTAACTGTTAAGACAACAGTAAATACATGCTTCATCTTCTCATTCAAGTGATTTGACATTCTTTGTCCAGAAGAATCAACTCCTAGGCAGGTATCTTGGAACCTGAGCACAGACTTTGCCCTCTCAGACATCATAGGCAAAACTGAAATACACACCAAAAATGAAACTGAAAATTACCCATAGAAAAGCATGGTGGCAATCTGATAAAGAAACTGTTTTGAAAAGCTCTCCCACTGCTACATTCTAGTCAATTGAACAAATATTTTCTCAGCACTAGAAACATTGTCTCAAAAGTAGCAATTCCTTATCTAAAATGTTAGAAATTTGCTCAGCTTACACCATCTGACCTTTTACTCCCTGCTTAAGAAATGAAGAGTCTTGACAAGAACCCGAATTGCTTTTTGTTATCAGTATAAAATGAATGACTGCAAATATCTAAGGACTGAAGTCTAAATCCCTCCTCATTTTTGCACTACACACAGAATGAAAAATATCCATGGATGAGTAGTAAGAATTGAATTAAAGTCTAAAATAATACAAGGGATAAATTTTGGGTGTGATTCCAAATGATATATTTTTTAATATTAGGTACTCAACAACCAGCATTTGCTGTTCTAGAAGTCTTCTGGGTAATGTTGCAAGTAAAAATGCCTAAGGCATACAAGGTACTATTGAGTCTCTTGTGCTTCCACAAGGGGATGAAAACAGCTAATTGCACTGCTACTGCTCAATTTAATGCTGAGGACAAAACTAATTTAAGTCTTGTGTTAACTGGAGCTGGAATCAGTGCATGAGTTGAAAGTTCTCTCGATTCCAAGCCTATCACAACCATAACACGTGCCATTAAAAATGGCATTCCAATTCTTTTTAGTTAATATACTGCTGAAAATACTATTTCTAAGACAACTCATTGCTGTTGATGGTCGTATCAAATATATATCTAGTCAACACTTCTGGTACTCTTTTTTCTTCTGCTCATAGAGGTGCTTTATAGAGTGAATTTTTTTCTATTATTTAGGAAGAAATGCACTGCCAGTTTTTCATTAAAAGCAAACAAAAGCAATTATCCAATATTTAAGAGATTTAAAGCTCTTCAAAAGAACAAAAAAAAAAGCATTTAAAAAAGTTTTAGTAAACAAAGCATGTTTTAGTGGTAGAAAAAAAGTACTAACATAAGACAACTGCAATCACCTATCTTAGAAACAATATATCAATGGCTGCCCATTTTCCCTTCTATGAATCCTGACTCATTCTAGTCATTTCACAGAACATACAAAGGATCTGAGGTCATCTGTGCAAAGCCTGAAATTTGGACTCCCTGCTGACCCCACCAAAAGAAATTTCAGTGTTAACTCGTATGTCCATATAGATCTGATTAAAACTGAAAGGACTCACAGTAACTGGATAAATTTGCTCAAAAATCACTTTTCACCATGGGGCTTTGACAACATTGTGAAGGGAAGAGAGAAATGAACATGTTTTTTAAAAAATTAGCTGGAGCCATGGTTAATTGCTATCTTCTTATTTACTTTCAGATAAGATGTTTTTCTAAAATATCTTTTTCAAGTGCTGTTCATCTTTAAAATAAACAGACTGTACTGGAAGTAGTATTAGAAAGAGCAAAAAATCCCATTAACGTCATTTTTATCCCTTTAAACTCTATTATTACCTATTAATGCAATCAGTAGGATGATGAGTACTGAAAGGCACAAATACCATGGTGGTTGTTTTTAAATGTCTGATCACATTTAGGCAGTGACTCTCTCCAAAGGAGCTTGGTTCACTGTAATTAGAAGTTTCCTACGCTGTAGTTTACAGTTATGTACAGATGTAAAATGTCAAGCAGCTCCTAGGGATAACAGCAAACATTTTGAGAAAAAAAATTGATACATTTACTTCCTTAATTTAGTTCTCAAGTTAATTATGTATTCAACTATTTATTTGATGCAGATCGCAATAGAATTATTCTTCATTTGAAGAACTGAGTTTTAACCTCTGCAAGATGGAAAACAACTCCTTCCACACCCCTCTTCCCAACATAAAGCTTCTGGTCAGAAACACTGAGGCATGAAATTGGAATAAAATTGTTGTGTCCACAGACACGGTGCATGGTTAAACACAGGAAATTCTACTGATCACATATTTTTACTTGATTTTTGACACAAATATCTATTTTACTGTGCTTATTATTGTTTAACACAGTTGACCTCAAAATATTCAAGTAAGATTCCAATAGTTGCTTCATATCCTTATCAAACAAGCTTTCTGGTACTTTCCAGATTTTCTCATTGATAAACACCAGTAATCCAGACAAATACACGTCTAGATTTAGATTGGCTAGATTTAAAATTCCCTCAGAGTTAGCTCTATAAAATCTCTTATAAAATTCAAAACAATGAATTGTTAAGGACAGTACTAGTGAATCCACCATGCAAGAATTCCATCTTTATCTGTTTTTTTGTTCTTGTTTCATTTTCTTACACACATATAAAAGCTCTGTTAATTTTCTTAACCTTTCATTACTCTAAAGCAATACTCTGACATCAATATCCACACTGAGCCTACCATAACATTACTTCTTTTACAAAGAGAAAGATAACAACAATCATCAGTAACACTTTCTATTAGACATATTTTTCTCCTGAAGTTCAACAATAATCTGCAGCTAACAACTGAAGAAAAACATCAATTTTTAATGAATGATTCCTAGTAACTGATAGTCACTGCTGACAAGAGTTAGCTTCAAGATTAAGGTTGCAAATCTTCATCTGTTAGTACCACCCTGATGTATGTACTGACAGATTTTACTTTGCTGCACAAGTAACAAAATATGTTAAAATGGGAAACTAATTAAAAGCATATACATATGGAAAAAGTGCATACCAGAGCTGCCATGGCCCAGCCAGTTTTGTTGTAGATGAATTCTAAATTATTTCTTCGCAGATACAACAATCCACCAACAAGAGATACCAGAAGAGCCAGAGCAATTGTACCAGAATAGTTTGGAGGCCTGAACACTCTAATCTGAAAAAGATAAATGCAAACATGCAGATCACAAATAAATTAATACACAGAGAATACCTTATTACAGACAAACAATGAGCATCTGAAGTCTGGTATTAACAAAGATTAATCACTGAATGTATCCATGAATAAGAAGAAAAAATACTAGCTTCAGTAATAAGAGAACAGTTATTAAGCACTAATGATTTGGTACTAACCTGAAAACTTAAATACACAATATTTCCATTCTTAACTCTTAAGAAAATTAAACTAACACATATAAAAATATATGTGTATGTATATTGTAATAATTATGATTTTAAACAAATATGCATGTTGTGTCTGAATTAGGAGCAGCTGCTTTGGATTTATTTTGTATGTTTTATTGCAAACCCATACTACTTATTAAGAACTAATTATCACAATATCACCACTTTGTCTAGAAAAGACCACATATAATTTACATAGAAGAACAATCTTCAAACTGCAGCTACAATGAATACTACTTTTTTCTTTTTATATATATATATATATTTTAAATGCTGTCAAGATTCCACATTCAAGGGAAAAACAGGTATTAAGGAGAGATGACATTTATCAGCTGCCTGTCTCAAACTACCAAGGTACATACATTTGGCTCCAACTTTTAAAACTGTTGACTTACATGAACATCTGTTCTGTCAGCTATCCATTTTGCTAGCTGTTCAGCTGCAAATCCGATTCTCTGCAGGTCAAATGTGTCAGCTCTCTTGGGTTTACCTTTTGGAGGAAAATGCATGAAAGTCGGAGCAGAGTTCATATTAAGCTATAAAACCAGGAAAAATAGCAAAAAAGTTAGTAACTTCACACCTAAAAATGTTTATTTCTTATGTACCAGACAAAATAAGCATAACTAGTGTGAAAAACAGTATTTCCCTGTATTTCCCTTCCCAAGTAATAAGTTAG